CCATCCTGAATTTTATGAACAACCAGTTGAAATAGAGCCAGTGGACGACGACCATCTACTCGGTTTTCTGATTGATCCTCTCAACAGAACCGTCACCTTCCAACTCCCCACCCATCCCTGGCAGATTCGTGATCCGCAGTCAGCAGGAAGCCACAGGCTACGCCTTTCAGGCTTACAATCACGCCACCACACTCTACAAAAATACACATTTCCATCACATCTAGCACCCACAACAGCACAACAGTTGATGCAGCTCTATATGACAAAAGGTCATTCAAAAGAACACTGCGCCGCGGCGCTGCGGCCAAGAAGAGAGGAAAAGGACTATGCGCCGGTCTTTTGCAGTCTGTCGTTTTGTACATTTCACACTATTGAACTTATTCGCTGTCCTGCCCTTCCAATATTTACTATCCAGATGCCGCCTGATCCGATCTAGTTGCGCCGATACGGCTCAGTGTGTGTGTCCACTCCTGTTTCCAAGGACACTACTCTAGTACTTTTCTAATCTACCCTACGAGCTTTTCTGTACAGAAGCAGGGGGACAACCCCATGGATGCAGTTGGTTGTCCAACGAAGAGGGCTGCATTCCATGGCTGATATGATCCTGGGACGCTAGGATCACGTACCTGCAATTTTAATACTAAGTTTGATCTTCAATCGCTGATGTTTCTAAGTCAGTGCAACGCCGTCTCATACGTTGTTTCCTGCAGTATCTAGATTTAAAGGGCTAATGCACACCGCGAAGCTACCTGAAATCACGCTCCACGGAGCAACCTTCTCAAGTGTGTGTGTCTCTGTGTGTATGGTCTCTGTGTGTGTGTGATCTCTGTCTGTGTGATCTCGGTGTGTGTTGTCTCGGTGTTGTCTCTGTGTGTGTGGTCTCTGTCTGTGTTGTCTCTGTGTGTGTTGTCTCGGTGTGGTCTCTGTCTGTGTTGTCTCTGATTGCAATTTACACTAAGATGTATGTGGTCTCTGTGTGTGTGGTCTCTGTGTGTGTGGTCTCTGTCTGTGTGATCTCTGTCTGTGTTGTCTCGGTGTGTGTTGTCTCTCTATGTATTGTCTCGGTGTGTATGGTCTCTGTGTGTGTGGTCTCTGTGTGTGTGATCTCGGTGTGTGTGTGTGTGTGGTCTCTGTGTGTGTGTGATCTCTGTGTGTGTGTCTCTGTCTGTGTGATCTCTGTCTGTGTTGTCTCGGTGTCTGTTGCCTCGGTGTGTGTGGCGGAGGCGGAGGCGGGAAGCGGACGGGAAGCGGGATGAGACATAGAAAAGAAGAACCCCACACTAAGATGTGGGGAAAAATGAAGGGTGGGGCTTGGATCTCCTGCACAAGCCACACGGGCACTCGGCTGCGTGGTTGTTCCAGCATGGAAATGAACGTTCACAATTGAAAGAACTTTCGCAAATCCCAAAGGTTTAGCTTTGGCAAATTTTCTCCCATGAACTTTCTCCCAAATGCTACTCCTTGGGTCAAAGGCTGACAGACTCTGCTCATGGATCTCATGGACCTCTAGACTTTAAATCAATTGATCTCCGGCCGTGAGATTTCTTGCTTTCCTATGTCCCACAGAATGATGGATCTAGGAAGTGGTCTTAATGGTCTTCACTTGCAAAGTGGTCTTAGTATGTTGGCTTGATGGAAAGCAGGGGAAAACGGAAAACGGTGCAAACGCTGCAGTCGTTCCAAGATTTTGCCAAAAGGCGCGCTGCCTGAACTTCCCCGGCTGCTTAAGCTGATGCCACTTGCACCACGCAACAGAAAGCCTGCACGAGGCTCAACCATCGCAACAAGGGGGCCAACGTCACTGACAGACCCAAAAAAATGCCCAAAGAGATCCTCGTAAAGTGCCCAAAGAGATCACTAGGCACCGGGCTATCTTTTCCAGTTTTGCCATCAGGCTGCCTGTCAGTTGTGCACACTTCACGGTTCGACACGTCACAATATTCACCAGCCTGGTGCCATCGGGGATCTCAATCTCAACCTCACTTGAAGAAGAGTCATCACCTTCCTCATCTGTCGCAATTGACGACCTTCTCGAACTTCTCCACCTCCTCTGCGTTTCCTTCCTGAGCATTGTCGCAAGGGCCCTTCTTTAAAACTCCCAGTGTCGACATACTACGACCTCCCACAGAGTCGAACCCAAGTGGCGGAGCATCCGCCTCTTGCAACTGGCCAAAGTTGTACGCCCCGCTCTTCCGGAAAATCTGACACGCAACGCGGTTTCCAGATCTAGGCTAATTAACTCCGGTGATAAACCGTTTCTTCATGATTCCAAGACCTATGTTGAACAATATGGTCATCTTTGAAGTCACTCATGGTGTGCAAGAGCAACTGCGATACTCAATGGGCATCACTTATGGATTTATGGCTCCCAGCCGCTCCTCAGGTGTCATGAAGACTCAAAGGACGGTCTCTGCCATGGCAGGAAACCATGTGGTCATGGGTGTGGCCTCACGCCCTGTAGCCAGCATTTCACGTTGCACATCTCGGGGCAAACATGGAATGCGAAGAGTTTGCCCAAACAAGTGTTTTTGAAAGTGCTTGATTGCGTCGGGTTGGAGACAAGAAAGTCTTGACTTCGTCCCATTGCTGTGTAAGTGTAACGAGCCGAAAGTAAGCTCACGAATTTGGGCTTTGCAGGCTTTGTCGAATTAGGTGTGAATTGAGAAACCCTAATGAACCCACTGGTCGGCCCATGGGTCCATGTTCAAAAAACACACCAAAAAGATCCAAAAAGCATCTGCAGCCCCTCCACCATGCGCGTGGGGCACTGCGACCAGGTTGCCGCTTTTTGACCTGGCATTGATGCTCATCACGGGCAGACTGATCCAAACATCACAGGGAAAATCTCAAAATGGAAACTTGTGCTGCGCACTGGTATGCGAGTGGACCAGGCTGGCCCCCCAGAGCTGCATCAACATCAGCATCTTCAGAGTCCTGCGTCATTGCCAATCATTGCATCTGTGAGGTGTCTAAATGTGTTACAAGCATGTAAGTCAACCCAGGTAGCAAATGATGAAGGGCCTCAGCGGCCATATCCTTCTGCGAACCTTGCACTGGGAGCCCCTCCCCTCTAGTGAGCTGCAGCACACTTCCCGATGCTTCACAATCGACTGGGCGCCCAGCTCTGTAAGAGTGCTACTAAGCGTTGGTGATCCGCCGTGCTGACGGCTGATGCCTTGTACATGTACGACAATGAGGGGAAAGCCCGCCTGTAGTGAGGATGTGAATGGTGTATTGTGCCTCCACCACTGCAGACAAAGCTTCCACCTTAGGATCCAAGGCCCGGCTGTCCTGCGTGTTGTGGGGCCTTCGCTTGTTGTGTCCTTCTTGGCTCTGAGGGCAGGAGCTAAAGTGGAACCACCATCTTGCATTTGTATGAGAGCTTGGCTCTTGTATACTTTTCCTCAGAAAGCACGCGACGATAAAGTGCCAAATCTGCTGAGAAGGTAGCATAACTGAGGCACAAGCGTTGCTCATGGCCGACTATGGCCAAAGCACGGTCTAGGGCATCCACAGTGGAGACCAAGCCCTCGACGTCCACCCATCAAGGAAAGTCACTCTCAGAGTTGGCGTGTCCCAGTGCCGCAGTCCTTCTCCTCCTTCATGAAGAGCTGAGCCTCTTTATCTCTGATGCCTTGGGCCTCCTTGCACAAGCAAGCCCCAATCGCCTACGGCTTCTTTTTTTAACTAGCCACTAGTATTGCGATGTCTTACGGTCAACATGTGCAGGAGCGAAAGGAGTTGGGCCTGGAGGTCAGCTTCACCTGATGCAATCGAAGCCGCCAACTCCTGCCCAGCAGCTCTAAGCAAAGTAGAAGCACCTCTTTCCCTGCTTCATCAATTCCAACCTCGATCTTGGTGTTCATGGTTTCAATCCTGAGGCAAAGCCCAAAAAGCAAACTCCCTATCATCGTAATATATAAGCCTTGAGGATTCCCGACTGTTCTGAGGCGTGGGCTCGATCTCGGCCTGTGCCAAGTCGGCCTCTGACTTTTCAACTTCAGCCTGTCACGCCACTCGTCCAACTCCTTCAATATTCTACACTGTTACAGAACAGCATCGATCATGGCTTGCGGCTTGCCTTCACGTCATTATGGCTGTGGCGCAGTTCTCTGGACCTCCAAGAACGGTGTCAGCTGGAAAGTTGAGCATTCTCATGTCTTGGAGAATCTGCGTGGACACCAAACATAGCGGATTCAGCTTAATGCCGTCCACTTGTTGCCTCCCACTGCAGAGTTTCTTCTCTCCCTCGAACACCTTGGTAGGCGCTCAGGTTGACAATAATGATGATGCAAAAACTCCAACTGGGTAACTGGAGGCTGACTGCACGCTGCTTTTTCTGCTCCTTGCTTGGCGCACGCTGCAGCAAAGGGCACACCTCAAATCCTCAAAAGAGAACTCAGCACCAATGCTTGTGGCTCTGGTCATGCTCATCCTGGCATCCAAGCTGGCTGAGTTGGCTGGTCAGTCCGCCTTGTCGATGGGTCTCACTTCTGGCTGCTGGCAAGACCTGGTCGTTGGTATCCAGTGGATCTCTTCATCCAATATCAGCTGGTCATCTCGCAAGGTAATGTCCCAGTTCTACTGCTGCGGCGTCATAGATAGAAAAGTCCCGGAGCTGAGGCGTTGCTTCCTTGCACAAGCAGGCGGCTACTGAGCATGAAACGAAATCCCTTCCGGTCCAACTGATGCCAAAAACACTTTAAAGTCACAAAAGCTTGCGTTATATACTCGGGACATTGATCCTCGACTCGGAAAACCACAGCACGGCCAAGCAGAGAGACGTAGTGATTGGCCCGCCACTTCAATGGGTCCAGAACGCGCTTCTGCATCAAGGGGCCAGCAAACTCAGGAGTCGAAGAACATGTCTCAAGAGGTGCTAGCATGTTCGAGTATAGCGGTGCCTCTTGCCGTATCACAACATCACCAAGAACTGCAGTATCAACAAGCCGTGGATTTGCAATGACGATCTGCTCCTCGGTGCTCAAGAGTTGTTCAGGACGAACAGAAGGATCAATATGATAGGGGAAGCGGGTGAACCTTGGCCAGGCGATTGATACCTGTGTTACATGTGTCAACTCCTTCCATACATGTTTAAGTTTGAGCGTGTCTGTTCAGACTTAGGGCAACACACATTTGCTTCCGCGGCCTGCCATCAGTCTCTCAGCCGGGATTGAATGAAGCTTCCAACAACACAATATGCGAGGCCGACTCTCAACCGCACAAGCATCTATTATATAGGTTGGAGGCCATCGCTAGTAGGTTGGCGATCGAAACGATGTGTTCAACTGCCTTGGGCGCATCTTGTTTGATGCCATACCGCACGCCCAGCACATAGGTCAACTCGCGTGGGTCGAGCTCCTTGCATGCTCTCGAGCTCAGCAGGAAATTTGCAAAGTTTAGAGAATGCATACGAATACGAACCTAATTGTAAGCAGTGTCCTGAAGAAGATCTGCGAGCGTCCCCATGGAAGGAGAGAACAGGAACATGTCCCAACCGTGGCTCACTGAAATGACCTAGGTGTCGCAACCAAGCGCCAAGTGGCAGCAATGGCAACTTCTAAAGTAGCGTCCTTGCTCCTAGTAGCGATGCCCTTTGCTCCTAGTAGCTTCTTGTTCCTAGTAGTACGGCCAGGAGCCCCTAGTAGCGTCCTTCCTCCTAGTAGCGATGACCTGCACCACCGAGAGCATTCTCAGGCCAAGGCCCAATCAGCATTTTGTCTCGCACGTTGCCAGCAGTGCTGCTGTACCAGAGTCTGTGCCAGGTGCGTCGTGGAGGTCTTGTAGCCCGCCTTCTGGTACAAATCCCTCAATGGCGGTATGCTTGGAATCGACCCCTCGTAAAACAGCTTCCCCCTCTCCTGTAGTTCTTTAACAATGCTCAATTCCCTGAAAGAGCCATCCAGATCGTAAAGGTAGATCTTATCGACACCGAGGTAGTCGCTGTAGTACCGGAACCAAAACTCAGCATGTTTGGGCACTCGCTGCTCCAAACCTTCAAAGTCCCAAACCTGCTGCGTGCATAGTGCGATGTGCGGCCGGGGTTCCGCTTGCCGAAGTGATTGCCGCAAGGGCACTACCAACTCCAAATTGGGCATTTGCAACGGAGCGCGTGCAGACCTTCTCAACACAACTTCATGTGGGAAATCAGGTGCACTCCCCCCACTCACAAGGTCATCCGCCCATCGTTCAGGCGCTTCGCACCGCACAAATAGGACAGGTGGATCCTTGGTCCCTGGCATCTCTGCAAGCATCGAGGCACTGAAAACGTCACCACGGCTCCTCTGACCCTCAAAGACGCACTCAAACTCCCACAGGGCTCCTCCACTTGGGCTCGGCAACACTTGACACCGACTGTAACCTCACAACAAGTGGGGGTGTCTGGAACTTTAGGAGGGCCTGGTCCTCATGCTAGCCTTGCAATAAACAGTTTCCAGGCTTAAAAGCGGGTTGGGTCTTGCACTTTGAATATCCAGAATTTGCATGCATGGCTCCACAAGCACAAAAGCACAAAGCTTCGGTGCTGATATATAATTGCTGCCAAACAACAGCGCCCAGAAGCTGTACTATGATACAGTACGTGTTTGGTTAAAAGATGTTAAAAGAAGCTAGGGACAGCTTTTCAACTGAATGCACATACTTAACAAAATCTAGCTATGACCGCGTGCAACTTTTTTCCTTGAAGAGACAAGAGTGCTGATGCACAGCTGATGGTATTTCTGATCATTTGCGATTATATATATGCAGGACATTCTCTTTGACCTGAAGCAGCCACGAGGTGAGGAGGATTCGCTTGGTCTCGACGATGTCAAATGACGATTTGTTCTTCTCTGGCTCTGGGTTGAGGTTGCTTGGATCCTATTTTTGCACCTTTTGGGGGTCCGGTTTGTACCAGAGTTTGTGGAAGCATCCCGACCTCATTCCCTTGCCGGCACACTGACTCATCTCCTTCGGTGGGCATTCTAAAGTCTGTGCTGTCCATGGCTTTGATGTGGTCCGTCATTTCCCAAATATGGCGGTGGAAGAGGAGCATGCCGTCCGCATCGACGCTCCAAGCAACCAAAGAGATTTCCAAAGCACAATGGGTGGTATCCGCATCTAGTGCTGTCACCTCACTGTTTTGCCAACTTTCACAGTTGCTTGAGCACTGTACCACTTCAAACAGTTTTGTTGGTTGCTCTGTTTGGTCTTCTGATTAATTTTTTTATGACATGTTCCATCTTCCCTGCTCCCTCCCAGCTTCGGCACGTTGTATTCGCCACCAGAGGTCACTGTGCTTGGAAACATGGGCGATCGGCTGCGGTCGAGCTCCATTTTCAGCTGGAAACACCGAGGAGCCGAGAGACGCTCGGCCGCTCGGAAGATCCTGACCTTGCTGCCGGAGGAGGAACACTAAAAATCGGAAGCAAGCAAACAGGATTACACAAGGGAAAAATATCCACCTCATCCCGTCCCCCAGAAAAGTGCCGAAATTGGTTTGCAACAGCACGTGTCACACACCAGCATTCGACTTAGGTCCACACATATGATCCCGGATTCCTCGGGTCGCTCAGCAGCTCAATTACATTGTGAGCCGCTGCGAAACACAATCCAAGATTCTCTACCACATCGTCAAAATGATCGATCATCAAATGGGCGCAGTCTGCCAGCGTCACGCACGGAGATGGGCGACCTGCCACACACCACAGAAACTCACCATGGGGGAGCCTCCCCAGACCAGCCTGCAAGCAAAGCCATCTCGTGCGCATCAGAGTTTTGACCTCACAAGGCTGTTAGAAGGTAATCTAATTCGACACAGCATCTTGGAACTCCATTTTGGAAGAGCTGCACTCAGTGCTGCAAGCAGCTGGAAATGCTAAACAGGTTGCCTGCGACGCCAATCGACAATCCGAAGTGTCAGTCCATGAGAAGGCAAAGCTTCGGCAAGTTTGCAACTTTCCCTCAGCAGTCATTGACCACAAGTCTGGCCTCCACCAATACCTCAGATCCGCTATCAAGCAAAATCCAGCAACAATGGCCCTCGTGATCACACAAGCAGCCCCGGAGACTCGTGCAGCGCTCTCTGTGCCCACATGCATCGACGTTTGTTTTGAAGGCTTGCAAACCTGCTGGCCATGCTCAGGGGCCTCTTTCCCAGAATTGAACTCAGACCACGGCGGTCTTATATAGGGACGCGCCGCCTTCGCTTCGTCCTTCGTTTGGTCGAACCCTTTGTTTACGCTCCAGCTCTACTTGCTGATCATCGTCTTTGTGCAGACTTTGCTGGCTAGGGTCTAGGCGAGTTTTCACCCCGAGCGTGACCAAAGAGGATGGCAACGTCTCGATCCCGCCACGAACGTGACGTAAATATTTTATCGCAGTTTTTGGTGCTTTTTTCGAGCTACCCCAGTCTCCAGCACACTTCTTGGCGAGGTGGAATGATATGTCGGATGAGGGCGGGAACAATCCATCGGCCAAGTGCAACTGCACTTCATACTTCAGCGTCGCAAGCCAAACCGGCGTGTGACACAATGCTCAAGTTTGCAAAGTTCTTGGATAGGCATGGTTTGCACGATAGGACCTTGGTTTGCCTCCTGAGGAGCCGGACTATGACACTGAGTATGACTCCGGCTGGCCGCTTAGGCTGAGTGACCGCAGCAAGATGAGAACGCTTCGGGCACCAAAAGTGGATGAGACTTCGATGCGAATGCACCTACCGCCGCTACTTCCTTGCCGAGATCTACGGCTCGATCGCAGTAGAATAAATTACTGTCATCGAGTTCCACAGACCACTAGCTCCTCGCCAAGCCGACAGCGCGCAGCGGTTGAACCGAACCTCACGGAGATGAGCCTTGCGGACTCCTTTGTCCTCAATGCTCTAATGATCTTATGAGAAGGAGGTTCAGGCTCTAAGCTGCAGGCCTCAGTGCCGATGAGCGCCGACACATTCTGTCGGCCGCCCACGCATGGGTCCCTTGATTTTGAGCAAGTGAATGGAGGCTTGCAAACTTTGTGCGATGAACCTGCTCGTCTGGTGCACATGGAAACTTGAAGCACTGTGCGGTGGGCGGCTATGATGCTGAGGTGCAGACCTTAGGCCGAACACCAGGCTGCTGTGGGCTGAAGTTCATGGAGCTGCCAGTCCATCGTCCACGGCATGCCTGGCTTCCTGGTCCTAGTGGACGCCGCGCAGGCCATCGTGAGTACGATGCGGAGGTGAATGAATCACCGCTTGGCTTGGCCACCCTTCGTTTGGATTTGCGCTGCACGACGGTAGTTTCAGACTATGATTTGGGCGGCCTTGACCAAGAAGAGTGCTGCAAGCCGAGTTGGCTTACAGCGCTCTCTCCAATCATGGCTCTGGGCAAGCAACTTCGATCCAGCGTTCAGTGCCGCCAAGAAAAATAGAAGGCCCAAGGACAGATGCCCATGAGAGTCAGTCAAAGACCACAGCTTTTTGTTTCCAGCTGCAAGGCATGCATCGACCTTTGTTTTGGAGGGGGCCTCGTTCAAGATTGAACTCAGACCATGTGCCGCTTTCGCTTCGTGCTTCATTTGGTCAAGCCCTGTTTACGCTCAACCGTGCTCCCGCTACAAAAGGTTCATATTTGAAAATAAAAATCCAAAGAAAAAAACACAACTTAAAGTAGGACAAACATTTGGTGCTTGGATACCGTGAAAACCATGTGCGCAACACCGGCATCATGGAGTTCTTCCCAAGAATGGCCATCCAGCATCAGAATCCCCCACATGGCTTTGAAGACCTCAGGCTGGAGCAGTACAAAAAGATCAAAAAAGCAAAGAGTTCTACAATTATACATCATCCAGGTCTAGGTTTGTGGCAGCGCCTACAGTGCCTACAGCAGTTCCAAACCGAGATGGCTCAGGCCAATACTCGAACATAGTGAGACAGCACGGCATCTTGATCGAGGTCACGCTTCACGGACCAAATGAGCTCCCACAACCTCACTCCACCCACTGCCGGCGAGGATCATTGAAGCAACACAACCTTATGGGAAAAAATGGAAAACATGTTGTCGGGCGTAGGGCTCGATGACAGCGTGGATAACGAACCGGAGAGGCCAGCCAACTGCACCTTTAGGAGTGAGCACTTGCTGAAAACGAAAAAGGCAAGCATAGCGCAAGCGCTGTCAACCACGTCCAACGAGCAACCAAAGCAGCCAAGAGGCCAAAAAGACAGGCCAAGCCAGTGCCCATCTGCTTAGTAAGCATCATCATCTCTTCCTTGCTGCTTGTGTCAAGCTATGCCCAAGGAAAGTAATTTCCTTTGAGCCGCTTCTCGCAGTTTTAGTTTTCCGTGTTCTTGCAATTGCTCCAGGTGTGATCTAGAGCATCTAGAGGTGCTTTAACAAGTGCCACAAGAGTCATCCTGCTCACATTCATCCACATGCCTCTTCATGTAATAGCTGTACCTTGAATCAGGGGAGCAAACACTGTGTGCTTAGACACTCTCCGCCTGAGAAGTTGCTTGAAACAATCGGCACCGCAACTGTTCCAAGCCACTGAGATGAGATACTGAGCTCACTCCCCTCGTTGAGGCGCAAGATCTCCACAGGCCGACGCATCACCAAATCCAGCACCCTTAGCAAGCTGCATTTGTGCTGAATGGGTTGTTCAACCATTGATTGATATGGGCGCCGCACAACAAATGTATAAGGAGTTGGGATGGAAAGCCAACAGTTTCACCATACATTCTTAAGGGGAGTAGATGTCCTCTGTCTCTCACTCTCCATGGCGCTGACAGTCGAGCCGTCTGCCAGTGTGGGTGTAAAGGGTTCGGAAAAAAGGAACTTGTGTTAAGGCCTGTGTCACGCCCAATTCGGACATGTCTGATGGTCTGATATCTGATATTGGAAAACGGGCTGTAGGCTCTGCGAACGCATGACATGGGCAAAGCCTAGCCCTTCATTGCACATTGTTTGGAAGCAGTCACCTGCTGTGGATGTGCTGCTTTCATTCGAGGGTCTCCGCAGAATTCGGCAACACCGGCATCCGGGACTAAGAAATCGCAGGCCAGTCTCCGTCCATGTGGCCAAGAGGATGAACGGACAAAGAAGCAGTCTTCTGTGCGGGGATTCTCTGCGACCAGTCTGCACCCCATGACCACCTTGTGAGTGCCTCGAGATAAAGAAAGCAAGGGTCTGACAAAAAGAGCCTTCACAAAGTGAGTTGAATGGGTTTTTGTTTCAATCTTTGCACGAACAAGGTGAAAGGAGAAGGCCGGCGCCTCCATCTTGGATTTCTTCTCTTCTCCAATCAAGTTGGTAGCCAAGCTCAAGCATGCCTCGGCATGTGTCACACCTCCACGCGTGGAATGAATGCATCAGTCACCTCTGTGGCCAAGGTGCGCGTGAGGGTCTGATGCCGTGAAGGCTGTCCATGATATAATGGCACCTTTAGTCAAAAAAAGGTGCAATGCATGCATGCATGTATGCATGCATGCATGCATGTATGTGTGTATGTATTGCATGATATATAATCGCATATGAAGAAAAGTGACATAAAGTGGCAAACTGCGTTTGTTGGAAAGAATGGCCCGTCGTCTCCCGGCAAGCGTCTGAGACTTCCAATTGCACTTCTTCAATTCGCTCCAAGAATGCCTCAGATGGGTCAACCGTTCACTCGATGTCACTCGCTGCCTGACAACATTTCCGAATTCAATGCTCCAGGTGAGATACTGATGCCAAAGGCGATGAGGAATATGCCAAGGCTGAGAGAATTTCAACATCAGCACCCTGCGCATCCAGTTTCAGCTTGATCGGTGGTCCTGAATTACCAACACTGGCAGGCACATCTTCTTGAGCATGGGATGCAGGTTTTGATCAACAATCATCTAATCCAAAAGAAGCGAACCGAACCACTCCAGCAATCAGTCATCTATTTCCCACAAAGCTGCACTCCGGCACTCATAATCTTTCTGGCCTTGCTGTAGTGCCTCCGAGAAGTCCGGCTTTGCCTCTGAAGGTTTGGTGCCCAACATCAGGCCGTGCAAGAGCAAATCGAGGGACGTGACCTCGAAGGCCGCCCCGGTGCAGCTCCAAGGGCCGCCCAACTCTGCGGCTGAGAGGCTGGAACAATGATCACAGGCCCTTTGGCAGTGCAAGCGTGATCGAAGCTTTCATTTGGTGCTAGCAGACTATTACCTGAGATGAAGCAGATTCAAACAGAAACGGTTCGGCCTATTATGACGGCATTTTGGAAACGTGTAGGTCTAGGAGTCTAGGAGTTGTGAAGATGTGATGCACTCGCCACCGAGGAAGTCATTGGTGTGCAGAGATCGAAAGCCCCAAGTCAATCCTGAAGCAGCTTAAAATGAGAGGTGCGGATGCAGTGGATGCATCTAACCACACTAAATGCCAGCCTGGCTCCCAGGATAAAGCCACAGGCAGCGCAACCACACGGGACAAAACATCTGCATAGTCGACCTCGCCCAAAAAAGCTAAGGAGAAAGTCCGTACAGGTATAGCATAGACTCGAAGACTATAGAAAAAAATCAAAAAGCAGTTCTCAGGCCTTGAGGCGTCTGTAAAGCTCAAGAAAAGCCTTGAGGCGACAAGCTTCTTTGATCCGAGTACGTCCAAGTTTCTCCAAAGAATCGTTTCCAGGCCCCGGGCGGCCCTTCCCGGCTCCACTAAGACCAGCCAAGCTCTAGGATCAGCTCTCAACTCAGGTAGGAAGCGACTCCACTCGTGGGCACCAACATCAATGATGACCTCAAAAGAAGGCGAAAAGTAAAAAGGAACAAAATTCAAGTAAAAAGAAAAATATTGAAAAAGCCTCACCTGGGAGATGTCCGCGCCGCTTAAGGCCCGCCAAAGGCGAGTTTGCCATAAGAGCACCGGTGCCATGCGCGGCGCCTCTGGCCTGGGCACTCGGAGCATGGTCCGAATGGAAAACACACAGAAGCACAAGCAGCACAGGGCGTGTTGTTTCGATCTAGCGACACCATCAGGTCCAAAACCGATGCCCTGTAGCTTTGCCCATCAGGTGCTACAGAACTGAGAGCATCGAAGACCTCATGTTCAATCACACAATACAACGCCGCGCTTAAAGTATATCAACGTGGGTCACTTCCCAGCTCATCAAGGCGATATGAGTTGTGACATGTTTTATCGAGCTAAAGATTAGATGATTAGAGTTTAAGAAGCAAATCCCTTGGCAACTCGAGTTCAAAAGCATCCTTTTGCAGAAAGCCGTGCTTGCTTGGAGGCTGCCCTTTTCCTGCCTCCGTTCCCTCGGCCAGGTCGAAGAAGAAGTCCGGCACAAAAACTGGATCCAGAAAAGCGTCGATGTCCCTGTGCTAAGCAAATGCAAAAGCCGACTGTGTGTAGAGTTCAAACTGCTTCGTTGAGAAGAGCCCGTCTGCAAGGAACTGATGATTTCCGAAACTTCCTACTCTGTGTGTCACATACACGAACTACATTCCCAACCTCAAGGGTAGCGGCTCGGAGGACACCAAGACTAGTTGGACAAGGCAAAAGCTGCATGTCCTGAAGGTCTACACGGATTGCATGCCAGGCCCAGGAATCAAACAAAATGGTGTTCAAACCAGAGCAGATATCAGCAACTCTGGCGTGGTGTCCCGATCCTCGCCATGCCATAAATCTCTAGACGTACTGTCGTCGTCGGCGCATGCAGCACCAGCTATGATGCCATGGCCAGCAACCGTCAAATCCTATCTGTGGCATACCTCCGCGAATCTTGCTGTTGACGGTGATTTTGTGCAGTTTTTCTGCTTTGTCTACCGCAGCTAGAATCAGCCACGCTTGGGTACTGGGCCAATTTGCTGCACATGGTTTGTTGGATTTTGGATGTCACTACCCGTCCTCCCAGAAGAATTTGCCCTCTCAACAAATTGCAAATCAATGTTGCAAAGGCGAGTGGGATAGAAGCATTCAGGTCTTGACTTTCTGTGCATCCGCTCCCTCCTCTGCAACCTCAAGGAACGATCTTCTCAAAAACAGGCCACGGCCAGTCACCCCAAGAGGATGTTCCTAGGAGATGGCCTGTGATTGAAGGTTGGTCAGCAGCTTCAGGGCTTGTTGGACCTTATAAAGCAGTTTCACAGAGAATGCCAGTCACAAGTTGACTCCTAGAAGGAGTCCTCACAAACAAGAACCAGCTGGTCCGTGGAAGGAAACAGTCAAATCGCCACGGAAGAGCAACGTGAAAGACAGGTTGAGTCTGACTTGTTTATCATGTTCCCACAAATGGCACGAAAATATATCATACATTTACATAGGGGCGCGACAGCTGGTGCTTCCAGCTCACCAGCATTTCCACACACCTCACACAAATAGCATCTTCCATACTTCAGCTCGGTGGACGCTGTTCACCAAGGTCCCAACACAGATTGTCAGCAAAAGCCCCAGCGTCTTCATTGCATGGCCTGCTCTCTTCACGCTCGATTCTGCTCATGGCGTTTATGACTTCATCAAAGCTGAGCTTCTCACAGGGCTTCGCGCAGGCCAAAGTCGCCCGCGCGAAGGACTGGTCTTCAGCCAAACACAGCGGTTCAGCCGGATGAAAGTACAGAACATCATGCACTCACAGCTCCCCTTCTGCTCATGAAACCAAAAATTCAATCAATCCAAGCACTGGATACTTACTTTTGGGAAATCAGTCAACAGCAATCCATTCGAGTGGAATCCGGCGGCTACCGAACTTCTCTCTGTTCTCGCCCTCAGCAAACAAGCCACTAATGCACAATGTGCTTCTCGCACTGACAGTGACAAAACTGTGCTGAGAGCAGGGCGAAACAATGCGCTGATTCTGTCTTCGCCGGTCTGCCTGATTCTGTCTTCGACAGTACGGGCGCCGGCTAGTTGTGCTCTCTTTTCTCGTGCAGCCAAGCGGCGAGAAGCGAAACTTTGCACACGAGTTTTCTTCAGCTGAGGGGTGCGCTTGTGCAGGAAGTAAAGCAAGTCTTTGCAGGTCTCGCTGGCCCGCTGAAGTTCCTGAAGCAGTTCAGCCGGTGGCTGGTCATGCGGGTAGAGTGACTCGCACTTTTGCCAGTAAACGTCCATCTCCGCCATGCTCAACGCATGCACGCGCTGCAGCTCTGAGAAGGTTCGGGCCACTCCATCCATGGGGTCAATTCGCCTAACGAATCGCGGATCTGAAGCATCAGCGACACAACGTTTGCGCTCATCCTCTGCTATCTGGTGGCGCAGCATCGATCGTCTGTACTCACTGCAAGTTTGCTCAGGCCCTGCTGCGAAGAAAATGCGATCACCAGAATTGATCACCTCTTCATACGCCTCTTCCTGCGAATTTAGTACAGCAACTTGTTGCATCAAACGCTTGGACGCCACTTGCTCGGCACACTCCGAGATCTCTCCCAAGGACTTTCCAGATTCAAGGAGCTCCGCGGCTGATACCTCGAGCAGCTGTTTCACTATCTCCTGGATGTACCTTTGGGAAGGAGCCTCGCTCTCCCTAATCCATTCTGGCACAAGAAAGCCGACAGGAATTGGCAATAAGAGCTGCCACCAGGATTTCTCTGACATCTCCTCCTTTTTTGTGAGACCCATTTCTTGAAGGAAGGACTGTTTGAGGCCACCAAGGCACAGGTCATAGTCGGCGGTTGATAAGCCGAGCGTAAAATGTACGGAAACTTCAGTGCCCCCTGTGCCTTCAGTGCCTGTGGCATGAGGAAATCCCATCGGCACGAAAAGGACTTCACCCGGGTGTAGGACAACATCCAAGAGTGGCTCATGCAGCTCAGAATCCAGCAATCGGTCATCATTCTTTCCCCGAAACAGTGGATGGGAGTGGGGCATCCGAAGAGGTGGTGCAAAAATTCGCCAGTGCTTCGCACCTTGGCTTTGAAGGACGAGCACATCGTGGTTGTCTGTATGAACATCCGTCGACACCGACCGACCAGGCCCAGTGACATACACATTGATATTGCTGGGAAACTGGAAGGCACGGTTGGCTGCCAAGCACAGCTCAGCCGCAACTGTCCAATGAAGCGAAGCAGTGTTTAAGAAAATGGTGCCATATTGCAGCACGTCCAAGAGTTCTGCCATATGTCGAATTGGAGGCAAGCTGATTGGACACCGAAAGTCTGCCCCATCAGTGAGAGTGAGCGCGGACTCGCAGGGTTTTCGGACGGATGGTGCGCTCAATCCATGCAAGATATCATCCAAAGTAAGCAGATTCTTAACAAAATGGGTGGGTAGAACAAATGGGCCTCTCCTCTCCCCAGCCCACAGCATCTGAAACTCTGTGCTAGCGGCAAGGGATGTAAAGAATTCGCTGAGGCATCTCTGGCCCGGGTGCGAAGGAAGCTCATTTTGAACATCCGCGTAAAGTTGTTCAATGCTGCACCTCAAAGACTCATCTATCTTTCTGATGTCAAGATCTGTCCATGGAAACGGCCCCTTGTTTCTTACCAAGGGCCGGTGAGGGACCTTCAACAACTGGAGCCAATGAGGGGCAGGCTGGTTAGCCAGCTGATCAATAGGATACGACAATACCTCTTCGTTCCGCAACTTCCAGCAATCCTGACAGTAGAGCTCTTGAGAAAAAGAGGGCAAGTAGCCGGCACCGGCAGTGGACCACTTGCCACACTGCTTGCATTGCAGGTTTAATAGGTCCACCATGCAAAATTGCTCAAGGCACGATCAAGCCAACCTTATTTCATGCGATACTAGTATGAAGAATGAATAAACCAACAGCCTGGAGTTTGTAACCCTGTCATATGGAACCATGCCGGCAGCCTGGAGACTTGAACCGAACCTCTGCGGAGAATATCCCTCTTGCCGTGAACCCAAGGTTGTCACATCAAGCGGCATGAAACAACTCTCTGTTTTGAAGCACGGGTGAAGAACTTTTCTTCTCTTGCACAAGGTTTGAACTGCAAACAAGGCCATGGGACCATGTGGGGCCATGTGAGGTTGCACCAGGGACAGCACATGGAATACTTGAATTGAAGAGACCGCCGCGACATATCCCATCACGCTGCACAAGTCCAAATCCCAAGGGAAATAGTCCTCAACAACCGTCCGCACATAGCCTACGTCAAGCTGGCGTGCCCGAAGATTGTACTTCTTCTGGTTGGGTAGTGCCGACGATGATGCTGCACCGCGTTGACCTCATGTTCGCGCCTTCGCCGCCTCTTCGGGCCTTCGCTCAATCTAAAGGCTCATAGGATGCAGGTCTTTGGGGCTCCGTGGGCTCTGTGGCCCATGTGTTTTGGTCCTTGCTCGGACTAGCCGCAGCGCGTTGAAGCCAATGCATTTGCAGGGGTGTAGCATCCACAAAGGCCCATGCAATGCTTGTAAGGTCATTGGGATGAAGACCGCCCTCTGCTTGGACTTTGGCAACATTTGCCAAGGAGACCAGTAAGCGCTTCCAGTCAAAGCCATCAGTCTCTGAACCTCTGTACAGGGACAAGGCCCACAAAGTATTACTCAAATCCCTGGAGTTGAAAGCGGGAGCTGATGTATGCACCGCATCTAAGGAAGGCCTCAACATCTCTGAATCCCAGATAGCCAGAAAGGCAAAGCTCCACAGGATGTTGGCCAAACTTTGGGGAGACATCTCCTTCACCTTCTGCATAACTTCGCAGGAAAGCATCATCAGCAATGGGGCATCGCTCCGTGAGAGGATCGCCACAGACCATGCTAAGTTGCTCAAGTGCCGACCGCTGAATTGCTGAACCTGCTGAGATGCCCGGTGTGACAGCGACTCCCACACGATCTCGTCTGTGCTCCTAAGCACTGCCAAAGTCCAAACGGTATTGGCCGTGGCTTGCGCTCCAAAGTCAGTGTGGGCCGCCAAGATTGGGGCCTAAGGGCCACGGTTCTCTATCAAATCACGTGGGTGGCCATGAAATGCGGATCCTTTCGCTAATATTTTTCCGTGAGCTCAGGGTACAGCCCATGGCGGTGGTGTTCAAGCAAAACCTAATCTACTTTGCAGTCTCAGTCTCACCTTTCATTTTCAAGTTTTGGTTGACTCTGTAAGTGTGGCGTTGGTGGTTCAGCAAACAAGGGTCGGCACAATCGTTTGAAGTATGATTTTAAAAAATAGAAAAACATTCCTACCTACAAATGTTCCAGGGCGAACGGGGTACTCAAAACAAAAGTGCACACAAAGCACTCGATCTCTTTTTGCTAAGGGCGGAATGGGGGCGGAAATGCAACAACATGCATGTTGTTGGGAGAAATCTCACACGTTTAAATTGAGCTTGGCCAAGTACCGTCCATGAGTCTTAAAGATTGTGTCTCTCACGTCAGGTCTCAAAGTTCGCCTGCAATTCTCGCAGTCCACGCTGTCGCAAGGTGTTTGAAGCGCGTAGAGGCCGTAGCTTTGCTAAGCGGTGGGCCGCTGTGGCCACACTGATCGGACTGAGCTCGTGGTGTTTCAGTGCCAGGTAAATGCCTTCGGCATCGCCACGCGCAGCCGCTGACAAAATGCTTTGCTGAGTCGATTTGGTACGGACAAAGCACCTAGGTCTCCTTGGCAGCGCACACAAGGAGTGACTGAGGGCCATTCCTATGCCACTTGCGAGCCAAAATGCGTTCAAATGGGCAAAGCTCGACCGACTGTGAGTCAACTGCACAATGCTTGAACCTGCAAGGCGTCCACTCCCTAGGCAAACCTGCGCCAACCGAACAGCATTCGGCTGTTTCTCACGGGGTGATTAAGTCCAAGAATCCAAGAATTATGGGGTCGGTGGGAGTTGTCTTGTTTCTTGTGCAAAGGGGTAATTGGAGTCATGCTCCGAGGCGAGCCTAGCAGAATTCGGAGCAAAGAAGAGCGCCAAACTACAACCTTAATCCAGTTGATTTTGAGACATTGGGTCCTTAGAAGGAGACTGTGAAAAGACTCTTGGGAAGTTCAACTTGGTACTGGCTGGCCAGAATTCCATGCTCTTCTGCCTAAGGTTACATCTAGATTTGGATATCAGCCACTTAGGATTGGGGTATATAGGTAGCATGACTGGGCGAAGAAATCACACATCCGTGGCCCAGCTAAAAGGCTGCACGGACCTTTTTCATACAAACATCAAGAGCGTGGTTCCAGCTGAAACTCCACTCGCAGTGCTACAAGATCAAACAAACACAAGGGTGTTGGAGAGTGTAGGAGTCCAGAACGTGCACTTGTGAAATCTTGTAAATCTCTCAATTTCCCCTGCATGACGTTGCATCATCTTCAATTCACATCGGTGGCGCAGGCTCAGTGGGGCTCAATGAATCTTTTGGTCAAATGCTTGAGCTTGACTCAGTTGCAGTTTCAGATCTGGGATTCCTCGTTGCACAATGTTGCTAGTGGTCTTCCAGCCGAGTCTTGTTGATCATGAATCATGCAACTGCCACGGTGCCCTGGCGAGCTCGCCTCATGATGATCATGATGTCGTCCTTGGAGCCCAGCTTGCTGAGCTCTGCTTCCATAGCAGGGAGTTGAGCGGACATATTCACTTGCACAATCTGATCCCCACAGCAAACCTGCGAATCGGGATGGGACACATTCCATTCTGAAAGGAGACCTTCTTTCAAGTGTAGAACCTGAAGTTCTGGGCTAAGTTGGCAGCCCAGTTTGCCCCTTGGCTTCTCCAGCTTGACCCCATAGGTTTCCGAAGAAAAACTTCTCGCCAAAACCAACTGTATGATCTCAGTTGCATCACATATTCGTTCGAACAGTTGATTCCTGGATCCATTGGCTTCAATGATCAAGTCGTCCACAAGAATGGCAGACCTTGGATTCTGCAAATTCCACGACGTGATGCTGCCCTTCTCCTGGATCGACTTGATTTTCAAGGACTGTTGGTCAATCTCCGCGGCCAGCGATGCAGCTTCCAACGTGGCGGTGAAGACTTGGTCATGCGCCTCGGGCCGGTTTTCTCGCTCCAATCCGAGCCTCATACATACATACATACATACATACATACATACATACATACATACAT